CATATCTAAGCTTGCATCGTTTGTTTTAAGATTATTGATTACTTTAATGAATTTAGTTTTATTTTGATCTGAGAATTTTTGGAATAGGTTAAGCGATGTTTCAAACTTGTCAAAGTCTGTGTAAAGATTGGTCTCCATGTCATTATTTAGCTCTATGGCTCCATCATGGTCGCCTTTCTGGGAACTTTGATTGAAGTTGGGGCTTGTCCCCTGTGTTGATGTCATAGGGGTGGCAGAGCCCATACAGCACAAGATGTCCATTGGACGTCAAATGGACTTACATTGGACGTTTGGATGTACAATGGTGGTCCGCTGGACGTCCAATGGATATATGTGCTGTCTGGGAGGGTATGTACCTAATGAGGCACTCCTCGTGCGCTTTTTTGTCGTATCCTGGTGGTATTGTATGTCTGCTTCTTTTCACAGGGGAGATCGTGTGCGAGTATTGTCGTTTTGGACCTCTATTTTCATTGTTGACAGTGTGTCTTTGGGCTATTCTAATTAAATTGTCTTTATTTTTCTTTAATGTATCTGGGAAGTCATTGGGCTGGGGGTTGTATTGGGGTTTGGATAATGCCTGATGGGCTTCAAAGTACGATAAATTGTCAAAAGCCATCATGCGTTTGATGGCTTGTTGTCTACCGTATTCTGGGCAGGATTTGTTGGTGGACTTGTGTTCTCCGTTACAATGGAGGAAATTAGTCACGCAGTTGTCATTTTCAAGACATGTGTCTTTATTTTTGGCGCAGGTATGGCATTTCTCCTTGCCTCTGCAGTTTTTTTTTAAGTGCCCATACAGCAAACATTGGAAGCATTGCGTCACAGGTGCTACGTACACTGTGACTTTTACTGGGAAGTTGTATACGTAAATATTTCTAGGCATTATAGTGCCTTCAAAGGTTAAAAGTAAGGTACCTGTAGGTATAAATGATATGAGTGTTTTTGTCTTACCCTGCTCGTCCGTGGTTTCTGAGATTACCTTCCTATTTAGTCGCCTTGCGTCCACAATCCTCACATCAGAGTTGGAATTGTCGATTACTTCATCCACCGATAGTTCCGGGTCTATGTTTCTGATAATGCCCCTGCATGAAATCGCGTTGATCGGGATAGAGGTGTTGTAACCTCTCTCCTTCAGCTCCTTATTATCTAAAAAATTATTAGCGTCTTTGTAGTTTACAAACTCTACAGCCATTTTGTTTTTACCCTTATTTTTTAGTTTAGAAAAATTTACAATTTTATTTTTATGAAGCATTTTTGCCATTGATAAATGGGCGTATCTTCCCACATTCCCTGTTTTTTCTGATCCCTCTAAAATTACCGGGTACGGCCCTTTGTCGAGAGATGTGAAATTATTTCGTAACTTAAGTTAAGGTTAATTAACCTTATCTTTACTTAAATAATTAGCAGCGTCCACAATATTATTGTCATTGTTAGGCTTGGCTGGGCTCATGGCTGGTATAACCGTTTTTGTTGGATCCCCACCGGTCATACCGGTCATCCCATGTGTCTCGTCAGTCATATTGAAATGGAGGAATATCCCGTCAATATAATAGCAATCGCTTGATTAAAAACGTTTAAAAGTACGTACCAGATCTCTATCTTGCAGTATACACCGGGATGCATATATATTTTAATGATTATGATATGATTTAGCTTTAGGTGCTTGGATGTTTGAGCTGTTGACACTACGAGTTTTGCAGCGGAAGTGCACTTGTTTATCTCTGCACACCTGTATTTTGTGAGTACATAGATACCAACAAACAAAGTAGCTATGCGTTGCCAGATGTAAAAAATTGTTCCTAAAAATTTTTTCTTGCAAAAAATAAATAAAAACTCAATAAATACAAAAGTTTTATGCCCTTTAAGCTCTAATACCCTTCTGTATTTATTTACTGATCCAGCTATTAGCTTAAGCAATGATTTAGTACCTTTGAAATTTGAAATCCATAACCACAAAATTAATTTTTTCATCAATTTTTTTCTCTGTTTACTCAGATGAAATTGGGACCAGTTCACAGGTTAAACTTTAAACATTTAATTTGTGTAAATAAATCCAAAAGCACTTCCCTTAGTTAAGATATTTACAATTTGAAAACATAACCTAAAATTTAAAAGAAATGCACTAATTTCTGTCATAAAAGTTGGCAGATTTTGTTTGAATTTACCTTCAGTACAAAAATGAAATAACCAACAATTAATAAAAACGCCAAATTGATAATTTGCATTGTTAATTTTGTCATTTTTGTAATTAAGCTAAATTTAAACAATTCTTCTTCTTCTATACTTTTTATTCTCTCTTTCGAGAGAATTGGACTTGAGCCGATTAGGCTCTTACTGCCCAGTTACTAGTTTTAACGTCCAATGATTTCCGAAGAACCAAAAACCATTGGACAACGATTGACTAACGAACACGTGGACACAAATAGGTTAAGTAACCTTGAAATTTCAATGTTTATATAAATTCCTCTATTCCTTTAAAAAAAGGACAAAACGAGGAATATTATCTAGGACTGGAATCCGATTTTGTCCTCCCTGAGTCAAAGTCAACTATATTTCACACTTTTCATGGAGCAATGCACGAGCGATGCGCTTCTCACCGAGGATAAAATCGAACTCAAATTTAAACAATGCTTGGCAACTTTTTTGAAAGATTTTGGAAACAGTTGTTACCAACCATAACATAATAAATCCACCAGATTAACCTAAAGTTCCTAGTCGATCAGTGGCGTACTTTTTGGTAGGATAAAGGTTATTATAAATTATTTTTAGACTTTGGAATTTAGAAAAAAAAAGTTTCAGGTGCTTCTTTATAGACCCTAAGGAACAACCCATTTTAATATATAACATTAATTACATAACACCCTGTAGATTATAAGAAAACAAACAATTTTTGGAGAAACTTACAATGTGAAAATATTTAATACTCCATGTGATTTATTAAAATATTAAAGTTATAATGATTTTTCAATGTAGATCAAATTCAGTCGAAGCTTTTTAACTATTTGTATTGACAAAACTTGTAGGTACCTACACTTTAAGCTGGATAAGAAAAACTACCACATTTTTAAATAATTCAAAATACTTATTTATTTTCGTCAAAATAAATTTTTCTAACCTTAAAATTACAAAATTAGATGATATTTTTATTATAATATATTAACCTACCTTTAATACAGATATTCTTATTCCATAATAGATAAGCTAGATTTTTTTTCATAAATGCTGTTTAGTTAAAATTATTTTATGGAGAAAACCAGATATTTGGACCAAATGCACAAAAATATTACTTATTTGGCACCATACACTTTAGAATTTCATTTATTTTCTTAAATTCTTAAACCATCCATTGTTAATGTAATGTTATAAAGATTTATACATTTTTAACGCGAAAACATAATATTATTTCTTTCGTTGACTATACTTTGACAGATACATAACCTAAAAAGCCTTAAATGGAATTTTTTTAAAAGACTGCGTACCGTACGTGGTCACGTGGTGGGACTTTGAGGTGTGGAGCATAGTACTGCAATAATCAATTTTTTGTACTCCCACCTTTAAAACGCCCATTATCGTACATGTTTCCGTGACACTAACTGACCTTTTAAATACACATTGACAAGTTGTGGCTTTATGGCGCTTTAGTCACGGGCTGAAGTTAGCAACAGGTTTTTAGTCACGGGCTGAAGTTAGTTTTAAGTTAGTTGACAGTTGTCATACAATCGTTAAAATAAAGTGCCTTTCTTGTAAAATAATACTAAATGTGAAAATTATTTTATTATCTCAATACAAAAATACGAAATTATTAAATAGTTTCTCAACGCCAATATTTGAAAAGTTTATATGAACATTGTACTGACCTTTTAATTTCGCCGGCAGTAAACTATAACTTAAATTCTGGCACGGACTCCACTGTAAAGTCTTCATAAAACATTTTCTTTACTTTTACTGTGAAAAACTGTCAATTTTCAAGAAATACATTTCGATTTATGACCTTTATAATGTACACGTGTTTATAAAATGTAAAAATGTGACATTTGACGGTGACACACAGATTCCCCTATTATTTCATAGATGGCGCTCAATACAAATTTTTGATTTAAATCATTTTAAAATAATAATAAGTATTTGTCGTAGAAAAAGTATAGTATGCACCTCGTTTATAAACTTTTCTATACACTCATCAATTTAAGCACTCGCTCGCAAGCTCGCTCGTGCCTAAATTAAATTCGTGCATAAAATGGCGTTTATCAAACTTGATACATAATATATTATTCTTTAGTTTCACTGTAAATAACTCTTTTTTTATATCCGATTCAAGTTTAATCATTAAACGATCCATTTTCAAGGAATACATTTTTTTTTAAGTTTTATTGGCTTTTAGGCTTTTTCAGCCTATTTAGCCAGCACATTATATGTATTTTTGTCTTAATAAACAATCACAACACCCAGGACTGTGACCGGGAATCGAACCCGGTACCATTAGACGCAGATTGCACAGCTTTGTAGCCTAACCCACTGCGCCATCCTCGGATCCAAGGAATACATTTTGATTTAGAGATAAAAAATTGACATTTGACATAATACACATTTTCAAGTTGGGTAATTTTATTGTTTCATAGATGTCGCTCTATACAAATTTTCATTTTAAATCATTTAAATAAATATATTATATCATAGAAAAAGGACCGAAGTTGCAGTTGGGACGTAGACGCTAGTCTCTTACGACTTACGACGTAAGTTACGAGCGAGCTCGTAAATTAAACAATGGAAATAAGTGTAACTTAAAAAATTTTCTTGGAACCTGTGCTGTAAAAAAATCTGAATTTGTAAATGAATGCCTCACAAAATCATAAAGGTATTTTAAAGGAATAAAATCTGTATCTCCCTGAAATACCAAGTTTTTAATTTATAAATAATAATTTTTAATCGGGCTATATCTAGGTAAAATGCAAAAAATTTGTCCAGAATTGTTTTTTGAATTAATAATTAAAGCAACATAATAGGATTTAATAATGGTATATTTGATCCTAAACTATTTTTTAATATAAAAGTAAAAATAATGGTACATTTTATTCATGGAATAAAAATAAACTATAATCTATATGCCAACAAAATAGGTAGTGTTATTTTTATTAAAGTACCTACTTAAGTACAACAACAATATTAATGTTTCATAACAAGCATAGATTAATAAAAAGTATCAAATTTTAGGTTAAGTAGGTATTACTTAAAAAAATGATACTTCATATTTCATTGAAAGGTACTCAAAGAACTTAACAACTAACTCTGCAGAGTATGGATTTTAGAGCAAAGGGTATTGTCCATTTTTTTTAAATTTTGGGGCGAGTATAATGAATTTTAAAAATATATTGTAAAAAATTATAACCTGAAAATAAAAAAAATGGACCCTGTGCTCCAGAACTAAATATCACAAAAATAGTCTTTTAACTAAAACTAAACACTTTTTGTTTGGGATGGCAAAACAAAAATTCACAACATATAAAAATTTATTAAAAATACTGTCTTATATTAAGAATTTTCGCTTAAAGTCTATTCAAATCTAAGCTGGACTAAATGTAAACACAATCCTCCGAATCGACCAATAAGAACTCACAATCCGAGTCACACCATCAGAATCGACCAATAATAACGAGTTATCATGCGTCTCGGCGTTTTTGTTTAGTCCAGCTTGGATTTGAATACACTTTAGGTGTAGTTTTATTTAAGTTTAAAAATAAATTAAATAAAACTCCATTTATTTTTAACCTGTTTTTGCTCTACTTTGGCAAATTGTTCGATGTACTGACCAGTGATTCAACTAAAAAAAGCATAAATATTAAAAAAAAATTCTAAAATGCTAAATCTTTAATCTTACCTGACATTTAACGCTGCAATACATTACTAACATACAATTTGTGCATAAAAATTGTGCACTTTCTCCGCACAAACAAATCCTATCCTGAATATCAAGTAATTCACCCTGAAAATAAAATAAATGTATTTTATTTGTAAATGAACTTAAAACCACGGTACACAAAAACCGGTATGCTGATGCGCATGTTATAGCTATCTCTCACTCACCGTGTGACGTCACGTGCGAACCAAAAGCTGGCGGGTAACTGGGTTGGAATGTTATTTGCACTTCAAATTCAGGTTATATTCGAAATTTTATAAATATAGGGACGGCCTGGGTGCAATTATAAGTGTAGCAAATGTTAAGAAAAGTGAAATTGGCAACAAGCGCTTTTAATACTAATGTAAAATACCATAAACAATAATTTTCTACCTTTTATTATTTTTCAAAATATGTTTTATTCAATTGACTTAACTTACGCTATACTGAATTTTAGATTTTTTTAACGTGAAATGTAACAAAGTTAAAAATAAATTTATACAGGTAACAAAGTTAAAAATAAATTTATACAGGTAATAATAACGCACGCCCGCTTTCAAGTGCCGAAAATTGCCTTTATTTTCATTTTATCCTTTCGAAAATTTTCGCTTACCTACTTATTTTTTAAAACCTATATCAAGAACTGAATAAAATAAAAAAGTAGACTTATAGTCTGGCTCTGGGGTACATAATAGGAATAATTTCCTAATTTTAACAAAAAGTTAAATATTTTTCCATAAATGGGAATATATATTTTGTAACTAAATTTGTTGTTTTTGTGTATATTAATATAATAATACAATATATTAATTTATTATAAATAGTTTTTTTTAATTTCTCTTAGAACTTACATATTAAGCAAATTACTTTGTCTTTTTGTTTTTCTTTTATATGCATTTGTTTATAATATACTTAACTAAACTTATCTAAAAATTTAAGTTTTTCTACAATTTATAAAACAAATACTAAAAAAAGAAGTATAAAAACATAAAATGGTTTGCCTGTATCTTTTGCTATAGCCTTTGTATATCAATAAGTTACATTCATGGAACATTACATCTAAACATACTATATTCGTTAATAAAATATGTATATAAGAGGTAACTTATGCACATTGCATGCATGTTTTAAAGTTACTTTAATTGATGTTTCAAACTAACGTTTTCAGTACGTAACATCTCGAAAACATTGTCCAATGTAAACATGTTGCGGAAATTCGGAGGTTGCCTCAATAGACATGCGATATCAACAGTACATTGCACGGGAGGTTTAATGTACCCAATTTTATATCGCTGTACATTGTTGGGAAGTTTCTGGGGCTGGGTCTCTTGCAATCAGGGTTGCCAGTGCCAGTGCTTTTGTACTGAAATCAGTAATTCTCAAGGTTTGTCAGTACGTCAGTGCTACTTTTATAGTTTCAGTACTTTTTGCGAAATTTCCTTCCCAAAAAAACAAAATTGAATATAATCATACAATTTGTTTGAAAGATTTGTGAAATCTTGGTTGCCTATTTTGGATGCTTCTGTCATTTTCTGTCGCTGCTGCCAACCCTTGCCTTACAGCGTTGCCGGCTGCAGTGTTGCTTGGTTTCTTGGGGTTTGTTCCATTCTTTCGTACCAAAGGTTTTGGTGTTGCCAACTTACCAAGTAGAGCGGTGGCGCCACAATTAAAAAGCGACCTGGCAACACAGCCTGGATTTGACAATTAATGTTTTAATTTAAAACTTAAAAGTGACGGTACCAGGTTCGATTCCCGGTCACAGCCTTGGGTGTTGTGCTTGTTTTTCGAGCATAAAAATATATAATAATGAACTGGCTAAATAGTCGAAATGATTAAAAGTCAATAAACCTTAAAAAAAAAACTTAAAAGTGTATATAGGCTTAAAAGTAAAGAACTATCTAAATTAAATATTATATACATCTATACATAATAATACATATTAATAATATACATAATAGTATAATTTAGTTTATATATATAATATAATTTAGTTTAGTGCGTTGCAGGCCGTTGTGTTTGTGATTATGTTTTAAGTATATGGCATTGTTATGTATTTCTTATGCTTATTCTAACGGTCATTATGAACCCACAGTTAAGCATGATTTATAGATTGCCTTTCTTCCTTCCTCCCGTAGAAGATAAACAGTACAAAAACCGTTGTGCAGTTTAAAGATTCCTGTACTATAAATGGCACTACGATTTTTGTATTGTTCATCTTTTACGGGAGGAAGGAAGGAAGGCAATCTATAAATCAGGCTTTATACTTTAAGTATGTGGTTGCAACGCCCCCACCCGCCATTATGGGCGATGAACGTGTACTACAATAAGAAACGAGGTGTACGTCAAAATATTAACATCTTGTATTTTTTTTGAAAACAGTACTTTTTTATTAAAATCAGTACGTTTTTCATTCCAAATCAGTACGGAAATTTTTCGTGGTCTGGCAACGCTGCTTGCAATGCAAGACTTGCATGCATTCATCCACTGTGCTGCCAATCTTTATTTTTCTTCTTCTTCTTCAATCTGAACACAGAAGCACTGGGTTTAGGGGTAATGGCCTTTAGCTTAATTGGATGGTCTAATTGTAGACTTGAAGACCGTATCAGAGTTACTATCTGTTATAAATGTTTTAAATTTGGTCACACATCCTCAAAATGTTTATCTACTACGTCTAGATGTGCTCATTGTTCTGAAGATCATGATAAAAGGGACTGTCCCAATGCCAATAATATCGCTTTCCTAAAATGTGCTTGTTGTTCTTTGTACAAAAATATTAATTGTGACCTGAAACATATCCCAGGTTCTGATAAATGTATTGCTCATACAAGAAAAATCAAAATGCTTATTGAAAATACTGATTATGAGTAATAAACGTTTAAATAAATTACGTTTCTGCCAAATTAATTTACATCATTCCAAAAACGCATCTTTTTCTTTCTTTAACTCTCCATTTATTGCTGATTTTGATATTGTTTTAGTACAGGAACCCTATTGCGTCTTTTCAAAAATAAATAATAAATTTGTTATTCCCAACATTGGTCATTTTAGAACTATTGCATACAATAGTGAACCATTTTTATCGTGTATCGTTATCCTTAATGGCTGTCTGGATATTTTATCATTACAAAATTATAATTCGAGTTGTATTGTTGCGATCACGATTGAGTGTGGACCTTTAAAAACCCTTATTATCAGCGCCTATTTACCTCCAAATGAAGATATTACTAATAAATTAGATCTACTTACTCCTATTATTGATAATATTAATTTCCCATGTATTATTGGCACTGACTCTAATGCTAAAAATCCAATTTGGCATTCCGACACTCTTGATCTTAGAGGTGAACTTTTTGAAGGTTTTGCACTGGGTTGTGATCTGCATGTTGTAAATTCTCCTTCATCTATTAAAACTTTTAGTTCCACTCTTGGCGAAAGTAATATTGATATTACTTTGTGTTCATCATCTTTACTTAATTATATTAACGATTGGACTATTAATGAGGATGTGTGTCCTAGTGATCATAGAGTTTTATCATTTTCTCTTTCTTTAAATAATAATTTTTATCAATCTAATAAATATACTTGGTCCAGATCTTTAAAGGCTTTAGACACTGTTAAAGCTATTGAAGCTTGTATCATTGGCATTTCTAAAATTGATACATTATTGTGGTATCCTACTACCTATCATATTGATTTAAGAGCCAAACTTTTAAATAATCTTTTGGAAGATATTGGAACCAAATTTTTAATGAAACGTAAAATATTTTTAAATAAGCCTTTATGGTGGAATGATGAATTAGATAGATCCAGAATTAATTTAAACCAATCCAGAAGAGCCTATCAAAAGGCTCCTTCATATTTGAAAGATGGCCTTAAGTTAATTTATAAATCTGCTGCTAATAAATTTAAAAATATTGTTGATAAAACTCGCTCTTCTTCATGGAGCCAATTTGTTATATCTGAACTAGAATGTAACCCTTGGAGTCTTCCTTATAAACTAGCTAGAAATCGTTGTAATAATAAACATATTCCTACTAGTATTCCATATAAAGGTAAATTTTCTACTACCTTGGGTGAATCCTCTGAGGCTATTTTGGATAATTTTGTTATTTCAGATGATCACTCAAAAGACTCTTTCTATCATAAATTTTTTAGAGAATCAACTAATTTATTAACTGGAACCATTCCTGTCACTGATCCATATTGTGTGTCTGAAGATGAAGTTTTAGTTTTGTTAAACGATCTTTCTATCAAAAAAGCTCCAGGTCCAGATAATGTTTTTCCTACTGTCATAAAGACCGTTGCTCCAATTATTGTCAATCTACTTACTAGAATCTTTAATGATTGTATTAGATTTAGTCATTTTCCAGATGTTTGGAAACATGGTAAATTAATTCTTATCCCAAAATCTAATATTTCCTCTAATAATTCACTAAAAAATCTGAGACCTATTACTCTTTTACCAATTTTAGGCAAAGTTCTTGAACGAATTATTAAGAAAATTCTTTTTAATGAAATTCCTGAACAAAATTTCCATGATAAAAATCAATATGGATTTAGAGAAGGTAGATCTACTACCAATGCTATTTTAGATGTTACTAATTTTATCAAAACAAATAATTCAAAATTTTTAATAACTTGTTTTTTAGATATTAAAGGAGCATTTGATAATGTTTGGTGGCCTACCATTATTCACTCTCTTATTAATAAGGGTTTATCCTGTGACTCTGTTAATTTTATTAAAAGTTATCTTAAAAATAGAACTACTTCTTTATCTTTGAGTGATTCTAATGAATCTTTTAGATATAAAACTTTATCTAGAGGTTGCCCTCAAGGATCTGTACTGGGTCCTCTTCTTTGGAATACTGCTCTTGACTCTTTATTGAAGATCAAATTTGGTAATAATATTAAAATTTTTGCTTATGCTGATGACATTGCGGTCATTTCTTTTGCTGATAATAGAGGTGATTTAGAAAAGTTTACTAATTCTGCTCTTAATAGTATTAATAGCTGGGCTGATGATAATAAGTTATCTTTTTCGATTGATAAATGCAATTACGTTATGTTTGCTGGTAAAAGAGTAAGACGTCCTTCTATTAAACTAAATAATATTCCCTTAAGAGGTTTACAATCGGTTAAATATCTTGGTGTAATCTTAGATCAAAAACTGAATTATCAAGAACATATAAAGACAGTTTGTTTAAAAGCTAAAGGACTTTTCTCAACTTTAAGAAGACATTTATCCCGCATATGGGCTCCCCCTTGGCAAGCCCTTCAGACTATTTATTCTATGGCTGTTGTTCCTATTACTGGTTATGCTTTCGAAGTTTGGAAAAATCACATTCATTATAGAAGATCTGAAAGATATTTGAACTCTTGTAGAGCTCTATGTGCTAGAACTATTAGTGGTTGTTATAAGGATGTATCCTATGAAGCTGCCAGCGTTATAGCTAATATTATGCCAATTGATATTGAAATTTCCAAAAGACATGCCCTTTCCAATATCAAAAGATGCAAACCTGCCGAACATCTGGGAACATTTTGGACTGATAACTTTCCAAAAATTTCAATAGCTAAAGAACTATTGCAGAATTTGAGTTTAAATAAATGGCAAATTTTATGGGATTCATACCCTAATGGTAGACTTACTTACCAATTTATCCCTTCTGTAATTGAAAGACAATATATGAACATAACCCATAATAAAGCTTTATCATCAATTTTATCTGGTCATGGAAGATATAGAAGACATTTTCATAAAGTCGGAAGATTGGAGAACCCTTTTTGCCCCCATTGTCATTCCACTGATGATTCTTTACATAGAATTTCTGCTTGTCCATTATACGATGAACCTCGTCAAATTTTGATTGATTGTACCCCTTATTGGCCTATTTCACCTTCTAATCTTTTAAAATTTTTGATTGATAACAACAAAACAGACTTATTGACACCATTTTCTATTTGCGAAGATTTACCTTTTCATTAATTACTCTTTAACTATACATTTATTGTAAAACTGATTGCATTTGCCTTTCTGGAGAGTGATTTCTTTTCTTTATACAGTAATATTATTATTACTATTTCTTTATAAATAATATAATTTTTTGAAAATACTTTTACATTCATCTATAATCTGAGATTATATTATTAATAGATGAATTTCTGATTTATTAAAATCAACTTTATTTTTAGATTATTTTATATTAAATTTTTTGTAATATCTTGATAAAGCAAAAATGTTAATTAAATCTAATTTTTATTTTTTTTTCTTAAATTCTTACAAGGGTTGTAGGTACCTTGTAACACATATGTGTATCTTTTTGAGTAGAGTTTCTCATTTGTTTTGATAATTTATTATTATTGAATCACCATATACTGATGTCATTTTTGCTTTCTTCAATTTAATTTTTAATTCAAAATGTATACAATTCTCCTTCTATATATGTTAAATAACTAAAATTTTATAATTATGTACACTCTTAAATAAATAAAAAAAAAAAAATTGAAAAAGAGAGTGGTTTGGCACTGGGTATGTGGGTGGGGCCTCCTCTCTCTTTTTTTTTTTTTTTTTTTTTTTAGCTTAATTAAAAGCTATTTGGCCAGCTAATTATTTTTTGAAAATTTAATATGATCAAGGGTCTCAATTAAGAGAATCTGAGACTCAGATTCTGAGTACAACTCATCTCTTGTATAATTTATTTTAAATTATTTTTGTTCATAGTTCATTTTAATATTATTTTATGTCTAGTTTCTTTCACAATTTTCACTGAATCACTTTAATTTTTTTCCACACTTGTTTTTTCGATATGTTCTTGTTTATTTATTAATTTGTCCATTTTCTTTCTTCATTTCTTTTCAATATATTTAACATTGTCCAAAATTACTTATTATCATACACAACATTATTCATTTATATTTCAATATTTTTATTCAATACTCTTTCATCAGCGATAATGTTAGGTTGGGTGTTGGAGTTTCTGTTCATATTTCTGCTGTCTGCTAGAGCACAGCCCGGCATATTTTAAATAGTTATTAAGTTCAACAAATATAACTTAATAAATAACCTGGTATAAAACACCCGTGCGTGGCTTGTAAATAGTTATTGCTGTTCAATAAATGCAGTAAAAACTTTACGGAAAACGTTGCGGTGCGTGGCTTATACTTTAAAAAACACAATAATTTCGAAAAAAGCTCAAAAGAAATCGTAGTAAAGCACCCGTGCACATGCCTATGCAAAACTGTTTGTAGGTTACATTTGAATTTGGTTCGCATACCGGTTTTTGTGTATCGCGCTCAAAACCCTTCAAGCACACCCCTATTAAACTATATATATTTCCCTACTTACTTGATGAGGACTGTCACACCCACTGTCTGCTGGAGATGAATTCTGAGACAACAAAAAATATTTTTTGCAGTTGTTTACAGTTTACATAAAACACATGGAAAAAATAACCTAGAAGCACATACTAAAAACTTACCGCATTTCTTCCGGTGATTTCTTCCTCTTCATCCTCATCCAACTTGATGATATCCAAAGCGGGAAAAACGAGATCGTCCAACCAGTCTTTATCGACATCAAACACGGTTCCGGCACCGAAATCCTCAACCTTGATCGGCATTAATTCCTCCTTAACCTCGGCTTCCGGTGCCGGTTCTTTATCGCTTCCGGTTCCTTCGTCGAGCGACGGCATCGACTTGTGCTGGATCTCGTTGTACGGTCTAGAGTACGGTAAACGTATTCGGAAGTTATCGCACGTCGGAGAGGTATCCTCCACATCGCTGGATTCGAACTGATTGGGTACCCGGATTATTGGAGCGTACACCGGACTCTTGGCCTTGCATGGAGGACTAAGGCTAATTGTGGCGCGCAATGGTGGCGCTTCCGGTGGCCCGGCCAAGCTGAAAGTAGAATAGCTTGACAACATCCTCCATGAAATATTATTTAATGTCAGTTGCCCAAAGAACCAAGGTTTGGGAAAGAAATTAGTCAACTTTTTCCTGACTAAGTTTGGTGTACGATATTTTACATTTATTGGGATTTATTTGGACGTATAAATTGTATTTTCGTCAAGTTTTACAAAAAAATTGATATATTTTATGCAAATCCCAACGCGATAGCACAAAAACTGCTTGTAAATAAAGACTTAAGCCTGAAGATTGCTTTCATTCCTTCCTATCGTAGTCGTGCCCGTATGATTTGTGCGTCTTGTAAAAAGTCAATTTATAGATTTCCGTGTAAAATTCCGTAACCATGCGCGATGACACCTAAAATGGTTGACATTTGTTTTTGTTTATATTCTGCGGTTTACCCATTGTGTGTAAATATGAAAGATAAACATTTATATATTAGTGCAGTGATCACAATTTTAATTGCTGCGATTCTCGAGTTCATTCGCATGACTTGCGTATACGCAAGTGCCAACTTACGAACGATAGAGTTGAAATGCGATTCTCGAATCTGTGCAAAAATGCGCATTCGTACATTTTTATGCGCATTCGTACATTTTTATTCGCAATGCAACGAGTGGTCAACAGCACTCGCTAAAATACCTTAATCTCAAATTTGTGACACAAAAAGTCAAGAGAATGGACGAGCTTATCAATTTAAATGGATTGGCGGCTATTGAAGAGGCTGAAATTAATAATTTAATAAACCATTAGAATAATTAAATACACGGTTAAGCAGCATTGAAAATGCACACATTGTTTTTGTTGATACAGTCAATGAAATTGATCCCTTGGAGGCTTCAAACGTTGAATATGAAATAACTGAATTTGAAGACACATATAAAGTTGTTGCATGTGCAAACGAATTGTTAAAATTACAATATCATGATTCAAGTTCACCTGGGTTAAATCATAGTGCCCTTACGCAAGTAAACTCAGAAAACATAAAAGACCAGTTAAAACTTCCAACAATTAATTTGCCAGGGGTGCGATCTTAACCAATTTGGAACTAACAAATGAGAATTATGCAATTGCCTGGGACCTTCTTTGGCAAAGATACGAGAACAAAAAACTCTTAGTATACAACCATATTAAAGCATTAATGGAATTACCAAATATCAAATATCAAGTACGAAAATGCGCAATTTATCAGAAATTTGATATGATCATTAAAATCATTAAAACAACCTATAGACTCTTGGGACACCATACTAATATTCATTTTTTCCTTGAAATTAGATTCTAAAACTAAAATGCAGTGGGAACAAACGAATAAAGAAGATTTTTCTAAATTTGAGGATTTTCTTAAATTTTTAATAAATCGATCCCAAATACTAGAATCTGTAGAACCAAATAAATCAAAAAGTTACCAAAGAAAAGACACATCTTTGGTAGTAACTAAAAATGTACAGTGTTCATTTTGTAAACGAAGCCATTTTAATTACCAATGTCCTGAATTTTTAAAAATTCCCATGAATAATCGATATAATGAAGTAAAAAAGTACAAATTATGCACTAATTGCTTTTTTTCTCCTTTTCCATTTTTATAATAACAGCTCAATATTATTGAGTCAATAATGATATAATAAATAATAAACTACACTATGTACTGATTTGCGTAAACGAATTTTTGGTAAACTAACCCAACTAATACTGGCCATCTGACAACTTTCATAAAATACATCAAAAACTATGTTGGTTATACTACAAACTAGCACCGTTGCCACATAATAAATTTTATGCATACCTACTTGTGCGCAAATTTTTGCGAACACTTAACGAAAAACTTGAGAATACAACAGTATAATATCATTCGCAAGTTTTCCACCGCAACTATTCGCATTCGTAAGGTTGCGAATGAACTCGAGAATTGCATTTACTGCATTTCTTTGTTGAATTAAGATACAAAATGTCCATAGCTTTATTATAGCACAAGAAAACGCATTTAGAATTTTTTTGTAGTTACTGCCTTTCTCCATAGTAGGGTACCTTTAATGAAAAAAAACATCGAACAAGACGTTGGAAGACTCGCCCACTTTACCAAGACGGGGAAACTACGGGGTTTTAAAGCAACGTTTCTAAAAATTAAAGACATTGATCATAAACAATATCTAAATATCCTATTTAAAGACACAAATTATTTAATAAACTGAACACTTATCTTAAATAATACTAAACAATCATCTATTTTAAATATTTTGTGCCTACGCGCTGTCACCCTACAGCGCATGTCCATAACAAGCATTGTGGCTGGTCATGTCAAAAACCTTTACGGTGAAAGATAAAAATTTTTACGGGAGGAAGGAATGCCGTCCTTACGGTTATGGAATCTATAAATGGCACTACGATTTAAATAAAAAATTTTGACGTAAGTGTCACTATTAACATTGCCCGTTATTAATTTTAATTAAACTTAATTGATACGTTAAAATATTAAAATAACTTTAAAATATGATTTTGTTAAGAAAATATTTTATCCTTTGATTTTTAATATTACTACAATTGCAAAATATTATCACAAAGTATTAAAAATTCTTACACGGAAAATGTTAATGGTGACAATTGCGTCAAAAATTTCGTATTGTTCATCTTCTACGGGAGGAAGGAAGGAAAGAAGGCAATCTATAATTCAGGCTTTAAGTATAAAGTTCATTTTTTTTTTATCTGGACTGCGGCAACGTTGAAAATTTAGGTTGGTAAATACGGAACCAAAATTGGTTGCATTCACAGACCTGTAGGTCTGTGGTTGCATTAATTATAAATGTAATTGTGGTTATGTAGGTTACATTGAACGGTTGTCAAGGTAAGTCAAGTTGAGTTGTCAAAATTCGTAGTTAAAAATGCAATTAATTTGGCGTTGGTGGTGCGTCAAAAATTTCGTATTGTTCATCTTCTACGGGAGGAAGGAAGGAAAGAAGGCAATCTATAATTCAGGCTTTAAGTATAAAGTTCATTTTTTTTTATCTGGACTGCGGCAACGTTGAAAATTTAGGTTGGTAAATACGGAACCAAAATTGGTTGCATTCACAGACCTGTAGGTCAATTTTGCATTAATTATAAATGTAATTGTGGTTATGTAGGTTACATTGAACGGTTGTCAAGGTAAGTCAAGTTGAGTTGTCAAAATTCGTAGTTAAAAATGCAATTAATTTGGCGTTGGTGGTGCGTAGATGAGTGAAATCCACAGACCAACAAAAATCATATAAAAAAAGTAGTTAAATATAGGTGACTACGGCCCAGGAGGGACAAAGTATTCCTAGCGGATAATTATCTTCGCTTTAAAAAGAATTTATATACCTAAAAGAAATTAAAATTTTATGTGAACACACGTGAATGTTGTCCAATCATTGGACTCCAATGGTAAATGGATATTTTGTTAAAGTTACTGGACGTTAATAAGTATTGTGTAGTGGCTTAATAATAATTATAATGTATATATTGTCCAGGACTATTAATGATCAGTAACTTGCAAATTAAAAGAAGAAAAAGTTTCGTGATTATTGCTTATCTTTTTCAAACCAAATGGATGCTATTTGTAAAGACAGGAAAATTAACTACTTGATTTTTCACAAAAAGGTTGAACCTAACAGCAAATAATTTTTATTTTGTTTTTTTATTTCCACTTTATTTTTTTAAATTTCAAAAATTCTTGATCTGCTTAGCTGAAAATAATGAGCGATTTAATATTGTAAAACCAAAAACGTTACTTTTTTACTAGTAATTAAGGTTATATTTTTAAGTTTTTTAATTATCGAACAAATTCTTACTTTTCGAAGATTGTTATTCCGTCGTTAATTTTGAAGGAATAAAAATTAACATTGGTAGTTCCATTGGTGTGGATTGTGGGTAGTTCTATATTACTTACTTATTTTTTGGAAAGTTGCTAGTACACCGCGCGCGGTGTATTACTCTACACCGCCAATTAGGTCATAATTATAATCCGTTCTTGTTCCCCGAGCGTTTAATATTTGACAACAAGCTAGATGGCTCAGATGGTAGGGCGGGCGCTTGGCATGCGAGAGGTCCCGGGTTCGATACTAAGAACTTTTTTTATTTCATAAATTTGTTGTTTCTTTGTTAAACACTGTTCGGTTGGGTTGGTTGGTTTGTTTTAGTTTTATCGTAACATAAAATCTACTAGAAGTTGTCAAACTTTTTTTATTTCATAAATTTGTTGTTTCTTTGTTAAAAAGTGTTTTATTTTTATCGTAACATAAATTTGCCCATTTTAGTTGGGTTTTTTGCTCAATGGGGCGGGGGGGGGTCAATGGAGCGTGTTCGGTTGGGTTGTGTTGTTGAGTTTGGGTTGCTTTGGGTTTATGACGTAATATATAATTTGGCGGTGCAGAATAGTACACCGCACGCGGTGCACTACCAACAGCGTATTTTTTGTTCATTGTTATAGATTTTCATTTGCATAAAGTTGCAGTGGAGAAAAAGAACCGCCTGTTTCTAGGTAAATAGTGTTTATGCGTACAAGGCATACTACAAGCCGGATAATTTAGAAATACATTTTCTATTTATGTCATAGAGAAAAACATATTGGGTTTAAAGATATATTGTGCCTGAAGTGAGCAAGGTAATAATTATTGTGATTTTTGCATTAAATTTTAATATTGATTTCATTTTTTATTTTAGAAGTTCTTTATAACAGGTGCGTTCTTTTCGCCTGAGATCTCAGCTCACTTCAGTTAATGTCATATGAGATGTAGTGATCTGAGTAAGCATTAAAAAGAACGACACACTCAATTGAAACGCGCAATCTGACGGCGAATACGTGAATAAGAGGCAACATAACCTATCTCTGATATAATTATGTTCTGTCATTTATGGTTTAAATTTCGTGTTTTTCTATGTTTAAATTTGCGTTGAATTAAGCCTAATATATAGATTGCCTTCCTTCCTTTCTCCCGTAAAAGATGAACAATACGAAAATCGTAGTGCCATTTATAGATTCCCGTACGGAAATCTATAAATGGCACTACGATTTTCGTATTGTTCATCTTTTACGGGAGAAAGGAAGAAAGGAAGGAAGGCAATCTATAAATCAGGCTTTATGGATAATACCTTCCTGCACCCTCTGTGCATCTTCAGTGGACAAATTAGAGTATATATTATAGACGTTTCCAGATCTATAATACTTATTCTTTCCATAATTGGGTGACAAACAAAAACAATTTTATCCGAATTCTATTTATTATATTAAGTTTATAGATAATTTAAAAAATTTAAGTTTTATTGCAAAAAATCACCTAAATAAGATTAGGTTAGGTTATTTAAAAACTTAACAAATCAATAATTTCTTTATCCCCTCCACTTTATTTCCGACTTAATTCAAACTGATTCCCCCGCACAGCATGTGCAGTATCGGTGAGTGGGGAGGAAAAATCTCAGCTCACTTTATGGTGAGTGAAACAAAAAGAACGCGCACATTTGCAAATTTTACCGATGTGAGCTGAGATTAACTGAGATCTCAGGTGAAAAGGACGCACCTAATATATAAAGTTACCAATCACAAACATTTTTACAACAAGTTCTTAATGTTTAATAAAACATACTTCTTGATAGCCTTATCGTAATTCTATTTGCATTATAATATTATAACACATATGAAGATATTTTTTTAGAGAGTTTACATGAACACGAGAGATTTCCTTCTTCTGGGGCTGTAGAGTTTCAGAGGTCCTTTGATGTGGCCTTTAACAACGCGAAACAACGTGCCAGAAATCAAAGAAAAGCCTTATTTTACAAAACAAATTAAAAAACGTTTCCTAGGATTAAGAAACAATATTTTTTTTTAGATTTTTATTTTTTTAAATATTCTTTAATTAAATTTTATTTTTGTTTTTTTACAATTTTTTTTTTTTTTAATTTGTTTTATTATAATCAAAAAATTTAAATACAAATTTTTTAATTGTTTTCTGTGCCTGTATTTTTAAACCGTTTTCCTTTAATTTTAATGATAAAAAGCGTTTTGTTTACCCAATTTTCAAATACTCTCCAAAAAATTAATATATTTTAATGTAAACAAGAAAAAGCAAAAAAAAAATTTATAGTAATATTCTTTTAAATATAATTATAATATTTGTAAATAGTGTCATTGGTCAATTTTTCAAAAGCCTAATATTTGCCCAAACATAAAAAATTTGTCATCGTTTTTCCATGCGCAAAACTTCCCAAAATTAAACCAACAGTAACCTACCTAACATATTATTGGGCACAATTTGATCATTTATTGTTGGCCATCGCGATTGCACAAAAATCATAGGAATATTCAGTCCTATATTGTACATTTACTGGCAAAACTTTTCCAAAGATGAAAGGGCAATTCTTGGACAAGTTTTAACCTGATATGGTTCTTTGGGGGCCCTGCGATTTAAAGCTTTAGCTAAAAGACAGGGTCACTTACCGATTATATGGATGAGGAGTACTATTGTGTATATACACTGGAGTATTATTTGTGGTACTAATAGCGGCAATATTTGGTCGGGGCATATTTTGCTGAGATATACTTTGCAACAAAGCTGTTTGCCTTAAATTGCAATTATCTGTACTAACTCTCCTCCTGGGTGTTTTTTCCGCGCTTTTTCTTCTTCTCGTCTGATCTCTTGGTGATTTGGATGATTGGACAAAGTTCGGACTTTGATTGGGATGCGGGCTTCTTAAAATGTGCTGATTTGCACCATTTGGACTTCTAATGGACTGATCTGACATCAACATTTGTTGAGTTTGTTGTAGTCCATAATGATGAACTGTATTCCCCACAACTTGTATCCTATGTTGATTCTGATTTGTTTGCATTAATTGTTGCATCTGCACCGGATTTTGAAACACTTGCTGTACAGCAAGTTGATTCTGATTTATTAATTGTCCAGACTGTTGATTTGGACTGTTGAACTGTTGTCCATTTAATTGCAACATTTGTCCTTGTTGGTTCACATTTCCAGACAAAACTTGACCACCATAAAGTTGCTGTGGGCTCCTCATCAAGATTTGCTGACCATTAAGACTTGATCTGTTAAAAGTCTGCGGTGTCATTGTGTTGGTCAAAGTCTGCAAATGTTTAATACTATCATGAGTGGATTTAGCTTGATTTGTAATCTGTACCAAATGATTGTAAGCTTTAATTTGATGTTGTAAGGTATACCGCTGTTCATTTGTCATGGATGATGAGGCTGAAATATAAAAAAGTTGTGTTTGAGCTTATAACTTATAGGCATTCACCTCTAAACAGTTTTGAAGCATTTGCAGAAGCTGGATGTTCGGCTGGAAAATGATTTAACAGTTCAATTTAAAAATTAAGAGAGTTTGAACAAATATTAGAAATATTCCCCAATACCAAAACAAAACTCAAAGTGCTTAAATTATTTTTCGCCAACGATGTTGGCATCTTCAGAAGAGGAGTGTAACTAAATCAAAATGCTAAATTTACCATATTTATACTAATTATATACAAAAGTTTATATACAAAAGTGCTCTTTTAGTTCCACCCTTACTTCTTAAGAAGTCCCATAAGCCAACTGAATGGCTTGTGCGGGTTAGGGGTAGGAACGGACCGCGGGCTTAAAGTCCCCTCCAAAGGACTATTACACAATAGGACAAACACACCCCACGACCTCCGACTTGTAGTCAGCAGCACTAACCACTCGTCTACCGTCGGCTATAAGCTAAGATTGACTGAACAGTAAATGGACACAGTTTACTAAACCTTGGACCGTAACCGCTTCAGTGAACACATAAAGAGAAACTAACAAACTAATTTATACAAACTAGAGTTGGATACCGGTCAGTTATCGCTATTTAAAGATTTATTTCTATTATTATAGATGTATAAACTTTCATAACTATTTAGCAGACTTGGTTCCCTAAATTCCTTAATAAGTTAAAGGTTGTCAAATCCTATTCTATGACCATCTTCAAGTAAATGATGCCGTATAATGTTAGGCAGCACTCGATTTCTCTATCCTACCAAATCTGGCATGGGCCAAGTGCTCTTTGAACCTAACTTGGATGAATCGTTTAGTTTGTCCAACATATTTCTTGTCACAATCTTGACACTTTATTTCGTATATCCCAGATTTTTCAATATTAGGAATATTATCTTTGGGGTTGCCTAAAAGTCCAGTTTTCGAAAAATCCCTTTCAGACCTCAGGTTCGAAACTTGACTTTTATGGGCTCTGTTAGCTTTGTTTGAAAAGTTGTTAACCTAGAAAGGCGAGACTTAAATTTAATTTTAATTACTAACTTATCTACTAGAATGGGTTCAGTTTCTCTTTACGTGTTCATTGAAGCGATTACGGTCCCCGGTTTAGTAAACTGTGTCCGTTTACCGTTCAGTCAACTTCAGCTTATAATTATTATAAATTTGCTATACACAAAGTGCTTAAAGTACTTTTCGCCAACGATGTTGGTATCTTCAGAATCGAAGTGTAACTAAACATAAATGCTAAATCTATAGATTTAGCATTTATGTTTAGTTACACGTTGGCGAAAAGTACGTTAAGCACTTTGTGTTTTGTTTTTGGTGTTGGGTAATGTTTCTTGTATTTGTTTAACATATCACCAAAGTTGTCCTTTTTCAAGTAAGAGTTTGAGTGGTATAACCCACAGAGGTATAGCCACGGCGTACTCTATCCCAGGCGAGAGTGTAGCCCCACTCCTGCATCGAAACTGTGACGTCAGGAGGCCGATCTGATCAACGTGCGCCTATTGTATTATATTGCTTTGCAACCAAAGTTATAATAATAATAATAATAATAATAATAATTTATTCATCAGTAAAACAAAATTACAAAATAAATTTTGCCTATATGACTAGTCACACAAAAATAAGTAAAAATAATGACACTTAATATTAAATACTATAACATATACAAGAATAAAATTTAATGATAAAATTAAAAAGAATCCTTAAAAAATTCTTCAACAGAATAGTACATTTTATTTAAAAAAATAGTGTGTAATTTTTTCTTTAAAATATTAATATTTTTACAAGATAAAATAACATTTGACACATGATTATGACATTTTATTCCCTGATAAGCAAAGGCTTGAGAGACTGACAATCTGGAATAAGGCAAATATAGGTTTTTATTACCTCTTGTACCATAACTATGCATATCCTTTGTTTGTATAAATAAACCTTTATTTTCTTCAATGTATATAATTAAATTGTAAATAAATAAACAGGGTAGTGTTAAAAATGAATATTTTTTAAATAACGGTTTACACGAATATGATGGACTTTTACTATCTAGACATCTAATAAGTTTTTTTTGTAATAAAAATACTCTTTCAAAATGAGCTGAAACACCCCAAAAAATAATACCATATGACAATACAGATTGAATTACGCCAAAATACATTAATCTCAATACAGGAAAGGACACTGTGTCTCTAAGAGACCTTATTAAAAAACATAAGGAGCTTAATCTCTTACATAAAGAATTTATATGTGGTTCCCAAGTCAATTTTGGGTCCAATGTTATCCCCAAGAATTTTACTGAATCGCAGGCTGGAATTGATGAACTATTAATGTTTATGTATAGGCTAGAATCAAGCCTTGCATTTTTTGGAAAAAATTGCATAAAGTTTGTTTTATTAACATTTAAAAGTAATCCATTTTGTTGACACCATTTACTAAACTGATTTGACACCAAGGAAGAGTTTGTGGAAAGATTTTTCACTTCTTTATCCCTAAGCAAAACATTTGTATCATCAGCATACAATACAAATTTAGCATGTTCATTAAATAAGACAGATATGTCATTAATAAACATAACAAAAAACAAAGGACCCAGAATTGACCCCTGTGGAACCCCAAGTAAGACTTTTTCACACCTTGATTGTGCATTTTTTAAAAAAACAATCTGAGTTCTGTCGGATAAATAAGAGGAGACCCACTTAAGCGGTGGACCCCGTACACCTACGGATTCAAGTTTTTTGAGCAAAAGTTTATGATTAACCATATCAAATGCTCGACTTAGGTCAAAAAATAAGCCCACCATTTGCTGCTTATTATTGAGACCTTCATATATAAAATTAAGGGCATCAGCTATAGCGGTATGAGTGGATTTTCCTTGTCGAAAACCATTTTGATTTTCAATAATAAGGTAATTATTTTCTAGGAAATCTCGCAGTCTTTTATAATATAAATAATCTAAAACCTTGCCAAATTGACTTGATAGGCAAATTGATCTATAATTGGATGGATTATTATTGCTTTTAAAAAGTAATTTTAACTGAATCAGTTAACAATCCATGGGTACATATTCTATTAAAATCAACAGAACAATTTGTACTAGGTAATTTACTGCTATTAGTGGCGTAACTATAGAAATGGGGCCCCAGTCGGATTTTCAGTAGAGGGCCCTTACCAGAAATTTTTTTTGAATCATTTAAACTTTTCCCATTTCAACCAGCCCCCCCGCCTTACACAATAATGTTCATGGCTCAGGATTTCGAAGGGATGTATTAATCAAGGTACGGATAAAAATATACAGGGTGTTTCATAATATATGCGCAGGACTTCAGGATGTGATAGCTCATCCAAAAAGATGAAAAAAGTCGCTATTAATTTACGCTCTAAAATGCACAATTTTCGAGATACAGGGTGTTGAAATTTTAGAAAAAAATTCGTTTTTTTCGAATATCTCCGGAACCGTTTATCGTACAAAAAACAGCTTTTGTAAGCATTTTCTACTCAAAATAAGCTATGTTTTGTGCTAGAAAAAAATTTTTTTTCCTCATAATTGGTGGAGATTTTGAAGGGGTAGTGATTTAAAAGTTGTCTTTGCTTAATTCTCCAAACCGTAAAGGTAACGCATTTCGCACATTTCAGCATTTGAGTAAAAAATCATTTTTTATTTTTTTTTAATTTTGCAATTATCGTTTGGTTTTGTTACTTTTTCTAACGTTAAAATAAATTTTGTTTAATTAGTAATAAATTTTTTTTTTAAAAAAATTGACCATGTTTTTAAACATAAAAGTTGATTTTTCTCGAAAACGGTCAACTTTAGAGCTTATGACCAAGAGTACCTTTTTTCTGTAGAAAATATTGGCGGTTCGAATGGGCCTCTCAAAACCGTACATTTTTCAGGGGCGTTGAAGTTGAGTAGAAAAACACCCGCTGCCCCTTCAAAATCTCCACCAATTATGAGTAAAAAAAAAATTTTTCTGGCACAAAACATAGCTTATTATGAGTAGAAAATGCTTACAAAAGCTGTTTTTTGTACGATAAACGGTTCCAGAGATAATCTGAAAAAACGATTTTTATTCTAAAATTTCAACACCCTGTATCTCGAAAATTGTGCATTTTAGAGGGTAAGTTAATAGCGACTTTTTTCATCTTTTTGGATGAGCTATCACATCCTGAAGTCCTGCGCATATATTATGAAACACCCTGTATAATATAAATATATTCTTCTTTTATTAGGCTATACATAAAATAAAAGAAACATAAGCAATATTTCTATAAAAGTAGAGACAATTTTAATAATTGACAGTTGGGGACGGGATAAGAGAATTTTTTTTCTGTTGAATAAAAAAGGGGGCGGCAAAACTGTTCTTAGCCCAAAGAGGCAAAAAAGCTCGAGCCGGCTCTGACAATCGATAATTCATATGAAACTGTCTTGCATTACCGTGATAATACATTAATTTTTTTTTTCAACACCCTGTATATCGAAAATTGTGCATTTTAGAGGGTAAGTTAATAGCGACTTTTTTCATCTTTTTGGATGAGCTATCACATCCTGAAGTCCTGCGCATATATTATGAAACACCCTGTATAATATAAATATATTCTTCTTTTATTAGGCTATACATAAAATAAAAGAAACATAAGCAATATTTCTATAAAAGTAGAGATAATTTTAATAATTGACAGTTGGGGACGGGATAAGAGAATTTTTTTTCTGTTGAATAAAAAGGGGGCGACAAAACTGTTCTTTGCCCAAAGAGGCAAAAAAACCTCGAGCCGGCTCTGACAATCGATAATTCATATGAAACTGTCTTGCATTACCGTGATAATACATTAATTTTCCTGTTGCCTGTTAGGAACGCAACATTTTCTTGGTATTTTTTATTTATTTTCATTTTCTTGGTATTTTTCATTTATTTATAATTTTATAAAAGCAACAAACTAATGCACCATTTAAATCAACGTTAAATCAATCGATTTCAATAGAAAATCAATAGATAATTTATATGAAACTTGTTTTACCGCATTATACATTAATTTGCTATTGCAGTCGGCCTCCTGACGTCACGCCTCCCACTACCACACTCCCGCCTGGTATAGAGTACACCGTGGTAAAGCCAAAACCTGGAACCAGGGTTGCCAACTCTACCAACTTTTCGGTAGACCTACCAACTTTTCGGTAGATCTACCAACTTTTAGTGTCTTGCTCAAATCTACTACTTTGCAAAAAAAATCAACCAACTTTTAAAGTTTTTAATTTTTTTAAATTAAATCTTCCTAAACGTGGTAATAATGCATTGTGTTTTTTTTATACTTTTTCCATCTTTGAACATTTACCAAATTTCATAGAGTATATAGCGCGTTACTGTAAAGCCCTCTATTATCACCCATAATATACCTAACAAGTGGTATGATTATCATCGATGATATTTTCAAATTGAAACCGAGCTGCAGATTTCAGTCCGCAGAACGAGTGAAATGTGCTGCTTCGGTTTCAATGAGTAAATATCATCGATAATTAATCATACCACGAGTTATATTTAGTCAGAAAATATAAGGAATTTTAGGATTTAACGAATTGTCAGTTTGACATTTGAAATTAAAATTTGCTTTAAAATATAAAAAGACTTTAATAAACCTTAATTAATTTTATTATCGTTTACACCAACCCATCAATCTTTTAGAGTTAATAATTCTTTTAGAGTTTATAATCATTTAACAAACACAGTATTTAAATGTCAACAAATGTCAAATCAAGAAAAGTGTCAAAATCCTTAGCAACGTGTAAACAAGGTGATAAAAAATATTGTCGCTGTGATAAAATGCTAAACTATGGAATACTGGCATTTTATTGGTTCTAATTATAATGAATTGTATTGTCTATTACATATATCAACAAAAGTGCAGAGCAACCTACACCTACTGAAAATTATAATAATAATAATAATAATAATGCTTTATTGAACTAAAACCAAGTTCAAAGGCTATTGACCGTAGTCCTTCAGCCGAAACTGAAAATTATTATAAATTATTCAATCAAAATATGTAATACATATTATGTATTCTTTTAAAAAATAGATTAATAAAAAAGCTACACTTTTTTCTTATATTCTTTCCTTTTTTCAATTTTCAAATTTGTACCCTTTTGCTTTTAATCCCTTTAATTATAAATATATTTATAATTATAGGGATTAGAAGCAAAAGGGTACAAATTTGAAAATGGAATAGAAAAGTCAAAAAATAAAGAGCGAATTATGATAATTATCAAATTATGCATACAGTTGGGTTGTATACTCAAATTAAATAATTAAATATTTATAATCTGGAATTATTAAATTACGATATAGTATACAACCCAAGTGCCTATAGCAGCGGTTCTTAACCTTTTTGGCTGGCGACCCACAATTCAAAAATATTAGAAGCTCGCGACCCGATAAAAAATAAAATCATCAATTTTCTACATTTTCTTTATTTAAAGTAAGTTAAGCAGTGATTACGGCGCGCTTTTTCAAAAAGTCCTGCAAGTCTCGCGACCCATCTCGATATGGCCCGCGACCCAAATTTGGGTCGCGACCCGAGGTTAAGAAACGATGGCCTATAGGCCCGATAATTATCATAATTCGTTCTTTAATTTTTGACTTTTTTCTATTCTTATTTTGAATATTGACAAATCTGTAATTCTGCTTTATTATTGCTTTTTTATAAAAAATACTTAAAATATTTTGTATCCATAAAAAAATAAATTCATAGTGCCAGATTTTTTACTTTGGGAATCTCTGAAATACTCGAAAAATATAGGTGGTAGATCTACTAACTTTTCAAAGTAAGATTTGTTGGAAACTACCAACTTTTAAAATTATATCTACCTCCTAGACCGATTTTGGGTTGGCAACACTGCCTGGAACCTACTTGTTTCGTTGTTTGCACAACTCTCTTAATAGTGTTTAGCTGGCTTTAAAAGCCGCGTGTAAAAGTTAATTTAAAATAATATTATTTATCAATATTTGTTTTATATTTATCAATATTTGTTTAATCGGCAATCTAATTGCACCAGACATAGTGCGGCTCCATATTTTATCAAAACATTTAAAATTATCTAACTTATAACCTTGACCATATCAGCTAAGTACGCAATAATGTACTTTGATCGAATAAAAAAACTCACCATTGATTAATTGAAGCGTCCTCTTAACTACATAATTCTTGGATGAAACAACCAAATACCGAAACTTGTTGATCCACGGGGTGCGGGGGACAGATTCTGGCATGCTCTTGACCACGTTGAAAAATTTATCCAACACGTCCATCACCACGCAGTCGTTGCGCTTGTACTTGTTGACAAAAATCAGCCGGACTTCGCTCACGACCTTCTGAAAGTCAAAATCCATCGGCCAGTCTTCGTGCAAAAGGCTCGCCATGTGTATGTTGTAGCTGACATTTTCCAAAAGATCTCTGCTGACGTTGGGGCCGTTCAGAAAGCTTAATAGTGGCGCGAAAGTGGTGGCTATCTCGCGCTCCACGTCAGGTTTTTCTAATTCATTTGGGGGGATCGGGGCTAGCAATGGAGGTCCATCAGGGATGGAAGAGACTCGCGATGGGGAAGGTATGTTCGAAAATAATACAGGTTTGTTTTGTTGTTTTGGAGTCTTTTGTGCTAGCAACGATTGGAGCATAGTTGTTGGTTTGGATTGTGTATCATTTGGTAATAACTGTAGGTCGTTCACAAGACTTGAAAGCTTGTCTGGGATTGGAGTGATTGTTAGGTCTGAAACGACTTTCACTGGAGGTATTCTAGCTGATTCAACAGATGTATTTTCTATAGGCGTAATTGATACAGATGCTTGAGTGCATGGTTCTACATTGCCTGCAATTTCCAGTAACGTGTTTATTAAACTTGTCGGAATTATTGAAGCCTCTGTGGCTTGGCATTCCAATGAAGTGTTTATTGTCTCTGGAGATCTATATAGAGTCAATCCCTCTCCTAAGGTTGTTGAAGGTAAAGGAGATTCACTTCTATTACAAGAAGTTTTTGCTACTGCACTTTTATCATCTTCTTCTGTTAGATCAATAATATCAATCTCAACTTTTGCATCTTTCTTAACATTAACATTCACCACTTGTGTTTTGGTGAGAGTTCTATAGATATCCAGAGGTGGTACAATTTCGTGCCCGTTCATACATACAGGCTCTAAATGTGGTGAAGCCGTTTCATAAACAGGTTTCTCGACCTGGAGATCCTTGGTAAAACGCTCTACCATGATATCGAAATATTGCGAAGCTTTCTTGGTTTTAGCTTTAATTTGAAGAGCTACTTCAGCAGCTTTATTTTGGATATCGTCTTCGGGTTTTTCGACCTGAAGCTCTACCGCGTTTTCATAATATTGCGAAGCTATTTTCGTTTTAGCTTCGATTTGAGAAGCTACTTGGGCACCTTTTTTTCCGCTATCGACTGATTTTTCGACGTGGAGCTGTTTTGTAACACGGTCGGCCGCGTTTTCGCAATATTGCAAAGCTATTTTTGCTTTATTTTCAAATTCAAAATCTACGTTAGCACCATTTTTTCGGCTATCGCCCGGTTTATCGACCTGAAGCTCTGGTGCGTTTTCGCAATCTTGCGAAGCTATTTTCGTTTTAGATTTAATTTTAACAGCTACTTGAGCAGCTTTTTTTCGGCTATCGTCCACTTTTTTTAACTCATCGTCTGTTTTTTCGACCAGGAGCTCCTTTGTAAAACGCCTCGCCGCGTTTTCGCAATTTTGAGAAGCTATTTTCGTTTCAGCTTCAGTTTGAGCAGCTTTTTTTCGGATATCGTCCGGTTTTTCTAGCTGAAGCTCCTTTGTATAATGCTCCACCGCGTTTTCGCAATTTTGCAAACCTATTTTAGGTTTAGCTTCAATTTGAAGATCTACTTTAGAAGGTTTTTTTTGGATATCGTCCACTTTTTTTAACTTTTCGTCTGTTTTTTTTACCTTGGACTCCTTTGTAAACCACCCCACCGCGTTTACGCAATTTTGAGAAGCTATTTTCGTGTCAGCTTCAGTTTGAAGAGCTACTTGAGCAGCTTTTTTTCGGCTATCGTCCGGTTTCTCGAGCTGAAGCTCCTTTGTAAAGTGCTCCACCGCGTTCTCGCAATTTTGCGAAGCTATTTTCGTTTTAGCTACAATTTGAAGAGTTTCTTTAGAAGCTTTTTTTTGTCTATCGTCCACTTTGTTTAACTTTTCGTCTGTTTTTTTTAGCTTGGACTCCTTCGTAAAACGCTCCAATGCGTTTTCGCAACTTGGCGAAGCTAGTTTCGTTTTATCTTTAATTTGAATAGATCCTTTAGCAGCTTTTTTTTGGCTTTCGTCTGTTTTTGTAAAACGCTCTACCGCATTTTCCCAATTTGGCGAGCCGATTTTTGTTTTGTCTTCACTTTGAAGAGCTACTTTAGCAGCTTTTTTCCGGCTATCGTCCAGTTTTTTAAACTCTTTGTCTGGTTTTTCGACCGCGTTTTCGACATTTTGGGAAGCTATTTTCGATTTAGCTTTAATTTGAAGAGCCACTTTGGCAGCTTTTTTCCGGCTATCGTCCAGTTTTTTAAACTCTTCATCCGGCGAACCAAACAATTCAAAGCTTCTTCTTTTTAATTGCAATTTTTTTGATGTTTTTAATTTTTTTTTGTCTTTTTTTGGCTTATCGCTATTATTTTTATCATTTGTATGTTTTAAATCTTTCTCCTTCGACTTATTTTTATTTTTTTGACTATCATGACTGGCTCTTCTCTTATTACATTTATATATTGAGCTAGAAGAGTGTATTTGATGATCTTTCTTAATAGATGATGAAGAACTGCTCGATAATGCCTTCCGGAGTTCTTCAATGATCCGTTTAATGGACTCTTCAGGTTTACAATTTTTTCTGATTTTGTGAGATGGTCGCATTTGTTCAGTCTGATGTTCGATCAGTAGATTTAGTAGGTCATCGTCGTTATTATTGACTCTGGGTTTCATTTTAATTTTGTCGTACATGTTCGTTTCTTCGGTTTTTATTTTTTTCGTAGGACTTTCGTCGTTATTGTTATATTTTCTTTTAGAGTTAATATCAGTTAAATATGTTTCGGCAGTGTCAATACCACCGAATAAAGTCTCCTCGTCCGAGTCGTATATTCTCCGGTGCACTCTCACATTCCTTATAGGCGATTCTGCATCGCTCATTTCATCGGAAAGAATAAGAGTGTCTTGGTCACTCAATTCATCCTCCTCTAAATCTTCCTTCTTTTCTTCCACTTTAGTTTCTTCTGAGTAAGCAACAATGTTGGCATCAGCGAGGTCTCTGGATAGCACGATAGCAACTTCTTTCAATACGATTTCATTTTTTTTTTGGTCATCGACTTGATTTACATATTGTTTATCGTTAATACTTTTCGGTTCATGGCATTTTTCTTCAGTGGTTTGATTTTCTTCTGCCTCTACTGGTATTAGTTTTAAAATTTCTGTCGTTATTTTAGGTTTATCACTAGGTTTTTGCTCTGATTTCTGAGGTTCAGATTCTACTGGCTTTACTTCTTTTGGCTTAGAAGCAGCTGTTTGCACTTCAGCATTGGTTTCCGCTGATTTCAATTCTGGATTATCACTTTCAGCTTTGTTACCATCAGTTTTTTGTGCTGATTTTTCTAAAATTTTAGCTTTATTTTCCACTGGTTTAATACTCTGAGGTTTTTCATCAGGCTTTTGTACTTTTTCAATTGGCGTCTTTTTTACATTACTCTGTCTGACAGCTTCTTTGGTGTTTATTGCATTATTATAATTTCTAAAGTTGTTATTGTTAACATTATTATAAGGAAATCGTGGTTGTGGTGGCCTGTAAGGCCTTGGTTGCCAGGGTGGGTGATACCTAGGTCTGAACCAGCTATTTCCATATGACTGGTTTTGATTATGATATGGCTGCTGATGCCTGTAATAAACAAATATTGTTGTTAAAAAAGCTTCTTACTCAAAATTTAAAATGTTCATCATCCATATCCTTTATACTATTAGATGCACATAAGGTGGGTAGTTTCATTACTTCATTATTGCATAATTCTAAGCAAGGTTTGTTTTTATACATTAATAAACCTTGTTTTCCGAGTTTGACATTAAAAAATGCACACGTAGTATTTGCTCATTAAAATTATGAATACATACTTGGTAATTAATATATGCATCTACAATAATAAATTGCAATCAAGCTGTATATTTAACAACAAAATATCTTGCTTAACTTAGGTAGGTACTCGAAAAACAGTTTTGGACCATTTGAATTGAGAGGGCTTGATTGGTAAGTGTTTACATTAGCAAAAATCTTAGCTTCAATTTTTCCTCCAGGAACTTTTCCGAGTAGGTACCTAATATAAATTTTAGCCTTAAACTTACATTTGGTTACTGTCGTCATCATCATCATCGTCACAGTAATTCGGAAAATAGACGTCATCCAAATGATGCCGTTTTCGATGCATATTCCCATAATAATTGTTGTTGTTGTTACTGTTACTTAGTTGGTTGCGTAAATCATTTTGGAACGGGTGGTTATGATTTTGCCTGTTTTCAAAAGAAAACTCTTTAGAAACTCATCACAAATTTACATCAAACATTCAACCTGTCAAGTGGTGAATGTTCCAGACTAGATTCATAATCAAGGGCACCAATCAGAAGGAGAAGATAAAAACGTTTCAAATTTCCGTTTTTGTAAATATTTAGAAGTATTTTCAGACACACACAGAATCGTTATTAAAACAAAAGCCATCTAAGCACCAGTAACAATATACAAAAGCTTTCTACTATGCACAATGCTCTATAAGCCTGGACGTAAAAACCAGTGGCGTATTTAGGGGGGGGTCCGCCGGGTCCAGACCCCCCCCCGGGCGCACATATTTTATTATTTTTATTACAAAAAAAGTTCGGATCAGAAGAGTTCCTAATTTAGCTCCGGGGGGGGTCCAAAAAAACTAACTAAATATGTATACATATTTAGTTAGTTTTTTTGGACCCCCCCCGGAGCTAAATCCTAAATACGCCACTGGTAAAAACGATATCAAAAATTTCTCAAACCCGTTTCTAGGACATGTGGGGGGAATCAGTATGACCACAAAAATGACTTTCACAAAGCAACCCCTGGGTCTGTAGCCACCCCAACTCAATTTTTTTAAATGATAACACCCTCTTTGTTATACCCCATTGAAAAGCTCTTGACAATTGCAATTTAATTTTTAGCTGAAATGTTCAAATTTATTTTGAAATATTAGATGAAACAATACGGTCAACAATAATAAATGAAGTAAAGGAAAGGATGATGAACTAGCTTTGTATGAAAATGTATTACATTTTCAACAAGATGGGTAACCACCTCATTATGTATCAGCTGTTGGGGCTTGGCTGGATCAGAATGATCCAGAACAGTGGATTGGTAGAAGATGACCAATAGAATGGCCCCCCAGATATCCAGATCTGGCACCATTAGACTTTTTCTTATGGGGTCACTTAAAAAGTGGGGTCTAAAAAACTCTATTGAAGAAGTCATTTTCAACATTTAATTTATTTTATATTATTATTATTATATATTTGCCAGGTGCAAAAACAAATGTTTTAAAGTTTTCTCCAGTACACTTTATGTGTGATAAATACAATGACTTGCAAGACAGTTTTGATATTTTTTCATGCAATTTGCAAACAATAAGAAACTTAATTTTAAATACCTAATTTATTTATTCTTTTTTGCATTGTGCTTTTTATTGTTCTGTACTTATATAAGTTTGTAGAATATTTCAACTGTTTTTATTATAACATTTTTTTTCATGTGATATATTTAGTTTAGGTTAATATCTCATCTTGTAATTGGTCCAAGGACTGTAAGATGATGTAAATAAATAAATAAATAAATAAAAAAGCAAAAAATTAAAGTGTTTTGATTAATGTTGAACAATTTGTTTATTATACTTTTGTTAGAATTATTTTGTTATTCAGTTTTGTACTAATGTTTTTAGGATGACAAAATGGTTTAATTGATATCTATATCGAGAAATTGGAATAAATAATTATAAAAATTATTTTGCACATTTTCCAAAAATTAAAGTAGGTATCAAAAAGTTTTTACTGTTCACTGTTAAATATCAATTTTCAAGAGCTTTCTAATGAGGTATCACATTTTAAAAAATTGAATTGGGGTGGCTACAGCCCCAGATGTTGCTTAGTCAAGGTCATTTTTGAGAAATTTTTGACATCTTTTTTAGGCCCATACTCATAGAGACTTGCTAGTTTTTAAATAGGCACCCTGTATATGCCTCAATCACCATATGAACTAAATGATATTTTATGATTTGAAATTAGAAAAATCAATGTTAAGTAAAATGTAGCTACCTGCCGACCACCCTTTTTAGCTGTTATAATTCATACCACATAAAATACAATCAATTTTTAAGATGAAGAAGAAAGTAAAAAAAAAGAGTTTCAGCAAAATATTACTCAATATATAATTCAAATTGCTACCATTTAAGACAATAATTTATGGTATCCAGATATTTTTGTTTCCTTTACACATTAGCTAAAAAAACCCTCGTACAAATTGGCCTGGAAAACATTTTTCACGGTTTTACAATTATTTTTAGAAAGGACCGGACTTTATCGACTCAACGAGATGAGATGATAAACCAAAGTAGGTAGTCTACTTTGGTTTATCATCTCATCTCGTTGAGTCCATAAGTAGGTAAAAATGTTTTGATGTTATAATCAACTTGAAGCATGTAATGAAAAGGTACTGTACTAATTATATTAAAAATGGGTGAAGTATTTATATAAAAATAAGCAAAATAAATATCATTAGGTGAAGGTTTTAGTCTATGGTTACAATAAAACATAAAAGTATCATTAATACAATAATGTCTTTATAATGGATCACAAATAGTGCAACTTTCTTTAACAATTTAATAATGATAGCGATTAAGGGGTAGTTAGTACACTACAAATGCTTAAAAAGTAATAACAAGTACTTAAATGTAAACCTCATAGAATGTAAAAATAATTAAGACCAAACGGGTAATTTTTACCTTTATTACTACTACTACTACTTTTAATAATTATTATAATTGTACGTTTTATCATAACACTTTTATATATTCCTTTACAAATAAAATTAGGCCGTGAAGATATTGTGCTTCACTCAATTGTAGGCCTCCGCTACACGTTAGCATTCAACATTAAGCTCAGCAGAACAAGACTCACTTCTCAGCCTTATTAACATACCCACATAAATAACTACTACATGAAGGAATAAACGATTGTTGTTGCTAACAGATTAACCAGTAAAATAAACAGCTACTGGGACAAAAATTTAAAGTAGGTACTTTTATTATAAATTGAGATCTTCTTTGTTTTGGCATCAAAAAAGTGAAAAATACTATCATCATATTATATTGCCTTGTCAGGTTTTGCATCTAAACGATTCACTTAATACATATGTACCTACTTAAATAGAATACGTGATTTCCTTTATTTTGATATTTTCAACAAGAATAAACAAAATATTCATTGCCTTTTTTCAGTAGCACTCTGTATATAGATAAAAACCCCAAAGCAAAAGCTATAAATGAAAGATTAGGGATGTAAGCCATATTTTTTAATTCTGAAAAACTAGTTTTTTTAGGTTTATTAGTTTCCTTAGGTTTTTTTAGTTGGGAATGTTTTGATAAATATTATTTTCTTTTTTAGGTTATAACTTGTTCAATTATGGACCATCCGAGCAGGTAAAAGAAATGTTGAAACTATCCATTGTTAAGATTTACAACTGTGAAAAATCTTTACCTGTTGCTTAAAACTAAAAATACACTTTTTAAAATTAAACGCTTTAGTAGATACCTGTTTAGATTTATTTTGTTGTTTCTTTTTTCTTCACACATCTTATCAAAACTACTACCTATTATATGTGACCTATAGTACTAGTTGATTGTTCCATAAATTGAAATGATACTGCTCTTATCGCAATAAGTACTGCTTATATCGCAAATTGATAATTTTTAAGGACATCAAAACCTAATTGATTGACTCTAATGGAAAACAAATTGTTTAATTTTTTTTACTTTAATTGGGTCAAAATGCCGCGTGGTAAGTTTAGTCGAGTTCAGAAAAAAGCCAACTTACCACTGAAGAAGACAAAGTAAATTTTCTTGGCAACATTTTTATATTAAATTATATTTGAAATATTATGATGATTTTACTGTACGTGCTCATATCAAATTACCATGAGTCAGAATATTTATAAAACTGTCGACTAGTGTTGAGTTTCAAAATTATAAAATACAGAAACGACTATTAAAAAACTAAGTAGGTACATGTACTAGAATATCTAAAAGTTCACAATTTTACTGTTTGTAAATCAAAATCAAGTTTTTTGAAATCTGGTCCTAAATAAAGAAAATTAAGAGGTTTATGTAAAAACAAAACAAGGTTGACACTTCGAAAATAAAATCCTAAATGAAAAATATTTAAACACCCTGTATGTTCACTACAAATTTTTGTTTTACTTATATTGCTTGAAATAAATAAATCCTTGCAAATAAATGTTTCTGTTCGGAGTGATTGAAATGTACTATAAAGAAGACATTAAAAAAATATATTAAAAAAGTCTTTTGGTCCACAGAATGTTACACAATACCAATACAGGATGGTAAAGATAATGAATGACGTCACGTCGAATAAATTTAATTGTCACGGACAATTTGTCACTTATTAGGTACTATTTATTATTTAAAAGACAAAATAAATAAAATTACCTTGGCAAGCAGTTAAAATTAAAGCTAGAAGGATGCATTCCCAAAAACACAACACAAATCTATATAAACTGTTAATAGAATCTACACTTGTTTAAAACTTTTTGAACTACCTAATCAATTCATTTTAAAATTAAAACTTTTATCACAGCGTATGTTTATTTACATCGTTGCTCGGTAACCGAGCTCCGGTTACTAAAGCTTTATTACTTGGCCTGCTGAAATCCCTTATTCATCCCATCTCTAGGTAAGGTATACTGCGTCACAATGCTTCATTCCGAAAAGTTATACCTAAACCTTTTCTCTAATATCCTTTAAATAAGAAAGGCACGTAAACCAAATTATAGTATAGTATGCATTTATATTATGTATTTTAAGCAACAAAAGTGGATTTATTGGTTTAAAAATTGTGTTTATAAAAATGGTTTGTGATACTAATGTTTACTAATATTCGAAAATATCAATATTTATGTTACAATTCACTTAAGTTTAATTAAACAATTTTCAAGCTCTTTAAGTGCCTAATTGGGACAAAATTATCGATAAAAAGCAACATGGAAAGTTCTAAATTCTTCTGATTTTAGTAATTCTTTAATTTGACTACATGTAGTCAGTGAAGAGCCGCCACTATCCGCCGTGACATAGGTACTGCAGTACCTATGTCACGGCGGATAGTGGCGGCTCTTCACTGAAGAGTCTTCAGTCGAAGTAAAGAGGCTAATAAAGTGCAAGTGATTTTTAACTCGCGTCGCCATTAAAAAACATATTTAAGGCGCTACA